AGGACGGGACACAGCCGGATCAGACCTGAGCAGGACTTCCCCGACGCCCAGACAGACCTACAGGACGGGACACAGCTGGATCAGACCTGAGTGTCAGATGTGCATTTAGGCGCAGAGCCTGTGAAAGGAGGACAGCTCTTTAAAAAGAGGAATTCCAGTTGTTCTGGGGAGATCACGCCCGAGCTGTGCTGGTGGTGTTGTCTGGTGATCTCCGAGCTGCTGTGCAGCAGAGACCTGTTTTGCCTCTTCTCGTGACGAACTCGAGACTCGCAGAGACCGTTCCTCGCACATTCACGAAGAAGGACATTGACACTGACGTGAAGAACTAAATTATGTAACTGGTGCTCTCTGCTGGCCAGGCTTGGTGTATCTAGGAGGGCAGCGGCTACAACCCTGCTGAAGTTTTTTTCTGATGAGGTCTGGGAGACCGTTTGCCTGCAGTCCTTGTGTGTGATCCATGTCTTTCATCACTGCAGTTAGCGCTGGACCACAGGATACAGTTTCTCACAATTGCATCACCCCGGGGCTGGGACCAGATGGGTTGGCCCTCCCATCTGGTTTTTAACCCTTTCAGAGCAAGTTGTCTTTGCCCGTTTGTCCGTCATCTCATTAAAATCCCGTTCTGCGAGGACAGCAAGCTGCTATTGCTGTTAACTGAAAAGGCCGAAAGGCTAAAACCCGTGAGCGGGATCGCTGGGAAGCTGCCGTTTCTTTTCCGACCGCGACCCTCTCTGCCTGTCCAGCTGGAAGTTGGAACGCGATGGGGTACGGCCGCCTGGTCGCCCCAGGCCGCAGCAGCTGGGCCAGTCCGGGGGTCTCTCTTCCCAGGGGTGTGGGCTGAGCTCCGCAGCCTGGATCCGATCCGATCTGATGAGGGCTGGGGGACCCGGGTTCGGCACAGCGGGCTGGGTTGCGGCCCGCAGGGACGGACAGGTCCAAGCACGCACACCCGCGGTTAGGGATTAAAGGAGCCTGCCGTGGGGCGGAGCGCAGGTGTGGCTCTGCTGGGGACTGGGCGGGGGGTCCCCCTTTTTTTCCGCGAGGAGGAGGTCTGGGAGGGGAGCTCTCGGCTGTAGAGGTGATGTAGGAGCAAGTGTTGGTCACAGTTTCCAGTGCTGGAAAGAAAGGTGCTGGACTTTGCTTTTCCGCTGTGTTCTGCTGTCGGGGGGTTGGCCGGGTTCCCTGCGGAATTCCTCAGGAACAGAATTTTACCTGGAAACTAAGCTGCTCGATGAAATCCTCAGACTCGGGCTTTCAGCCCCAGACCCGTGTTCCCCTGAAGTGTGAACCTCTTCTCAGTCTTAACCGCTCGCTGTGCTGGACGGCTCCCATCCCCCCTCAGGCCACTCCGCACGCACCTCGGGGAAGCACTGGTGAACTGCTAGAAGTAGAATAAACTGTGGTGGAGAAACGTGCTGGTTTGTCTTGTATACTTGATTTCTCATTTCACTGTAGTTTCCACTCATTTCCCCTGCTTTCTGCTTCACTCCTGAGTCTGAAGAAATCCTGGGTCAATGTACTTGTATCAGGTTACCGTATCGTCTTCTTCTTTTCAAGACTAAGGAGACTCGGGTCCTCCAGCCTGTCGGTGTAGTACACTCCCCTCAAGACTAAAGAGACTCAGTTCCTTCAGTCTGTCGGTGTGGGACACTCCCTTCAGACTAAAGAGACTCAGTTCCTCTAGCCTCTCAGTGTGGGACACTCCCTTCAGACTAAAAAGACTCAGTCCCTTCAGTCCGTCAGTCTGAAGTCAACACATGAACAGTAATCTGGTGTCAAGAACAGGATGTCAGGTTTAGGTATGATAGGTATACCCCAAGCTCCTTGGGGTTCCCGCCCGAGGTAATGTGTAGAGGGAGCTCAAGCAGGCAGCAGATCAGTGGGAAGTGAGCCTCTGTACTGGGGGCTACAGGTGTCAAGTGGGTGCAGCTCAGAGGCACACAAAACAGCTTTGCTCCACAACCAAACCCACTTTCACAAGAAAGCACAGCCATACAAACGCATTAGGAAAAAAACATAAGGAAACATTCCACCGCCCAGATTGAAACAGCCCTCATCCTTTTCGTCGGGTGCGTTATGTCTCTTCCAGTAGGCAAGCTCAACGGGCAGGACCCCAGAACGCAGACAGCAGTACAGCATAAAACTTTATCTACCGTGTGAGGTAAAAGATCAAACCAAACAGAAGCCTAAACTCATCTTTGAGTCAATTAACTGGACATCTTCAGATGTTCACCAGCTTCTCAGAAACTAGGGGTCAGCCGGGGACTCATCTCTAAAACTCTCATGTCACCCAGACTCAGTCCCACACAAGGTCTTCTCTCTCTTCCCGGAAGATTCAGCTTCCTGGTTTTAAAATGTCACATGACCAATTTATTGTCTCCCAATTGGTCAGGGCATTCCCCTCCCAAAGCTTTCTGGGAAATGTAGTTCAAGCTGCCAGCCTCAAACTGCATGTACAGGTGAAATCTGTGGGTTTAATGTCATTTTTTTAAAAGGCAAAGTCCCTGCGAGACATTGGAGAGCTTAAGGTGGTGATGATGTCGTTGCTGGGGCTGCTGCCACGGTCTCCGGGGCTGGTGGCACCGTTGGTGTGGGGAAGGAGACCGTCTCTGGGCGCACTGGGCCCGGCGCCAGGGGGACGCGGGACCTTGAGGGAGAAGTCGACCACAGGGCAGCCCTGGGTGATGCAGCCCAGAGAGATGACGTCGACGTTCGGGGAGAGGAATTGAGAGAGGGAGTCCGGGGTCACTCCTCCGCTGGCCTCGATCAGCAACAAGGGGAACTGCTGCTTCAGAGAGCGAGCCGCAGCATGGAGAGCCTGAGAGAGACAGGGCCCATACTGAATCACTCCAGTACATTTACACTGCACTGAGAGAGAGGGGTTCATACAGACACACTGACTGACTGGACACTCCAGTACATTAACACTGCACTGAGAGAGAGGGGTTCATAC